GAATGCTGCGTGCTAGCGCGCAACCAACAATTGGAAAACTAGAGAAAGTTCTTTATTGCTATTCTCCTCGTATGGTTGAACGGTGTGTAAGTTGTTGACTAGCAAAAGCCCTGCTGGTGTAATCCATAAAATTTGTAAGTTTAGGGTTTGATGGAACAAGGCGATGAGAATTAGAAGGGTGTGGATGAGTTTAATATTACTATTAACAGTAACTCAGTTTATGAGTGAAGTTATGAGAACTTTGACTGTATTACTAATGATTCTTGATTATAATATAATTTTGGGTTCACTTTGGATACATAAACACTACTTAGAGTTAGACTGCAATAGCATAATAAATACTTTAACATTTGAGGACTACATATTGCCTCATGGGTGATTGCAACTTATCTAAGTCTAGAAAATACATGAGAATAAATCAACATATACATACTGTGGGAGAATCAATGATCAGAAAATCAGAATTGAAATAGATAATGGTTGTGCAAGTTCTGGAATACTTATCGGGAAACTCGGGGTTAAAGTAGTTCACGATTCCAAGTATTTTGCAGAAAGACTAACTCCATAAGTTCAAATGAAAGTTATGGAATTGGTATGTTATAATTAAACTTTTTAGAAAGAAGAAATTTTATTGGTCTAGAAGATTATAGAGAAACCATATTTCTTGGGATTGACTGGCTTCATAATCACTCAGCAATAATTAACTACAGGAATCATATTGTTACTTTTATATCCAAAGAGTTGGATTGTTGGTATAGATTTCAATACCCATCTGGTATATATGAAGCAAGTAAAGATAGATTTGGCAAAGAGATGAGTAGTTTGTGTTGGTGCTCATTTTGACCACAAATTTAATAAATACTTTTTTAGCACAGTCCATTTTGTTTGGTTTGTTTTGCATTACCAGATTATGGTCTTTTCATGCCTTTCCATTGTTGGTAATTCTTTTGAAGCACTATGAAAAGCAAGGGTGCAAGATGATACATTAATTATGGGAAGTTAACGACAAGTTATATATGTAATTTGCTTTAGTATATGTGAAAGCTACCACAAAGGTGAAATATACACGTTAGCTAGTAACTTGTTTTGGTATGTACATAGTATAATTCTGCCTCCTTGATCAAGTTATGATCAAGTTACGATGGAGCCAGAGATCACAAATCAGAGGTAACACTTAAGTAGTTTAGTAATTTTCAAAATAATGGTGCATGCCATATATAGACATGTATTTATTCCAACTCATAAGTTTGTATTTTATACATTTAGAAAAAAAGAAAACTATGTAGGAAAATTTGGATAAATTTTTGTCATAAGAAATACTCAATGAAATATTATAGTTGTTTCAAAGTCATTTTACTCTAATCTATGTTGGTGCTTAGTGTTAGACAATTTTAATAAATAATTTCAATTAAATATACCATGAATATCCAATAATATTTCAATCCAATGCTAAATAAAACACTAATAAAAATAACAATAATGTTAATATAAATAAGATATATAGGCACCTGGCGTTTAATTTGGGTAATATAAATGAAACCATAATTGTTTCAAATTACAAAATGAATAATCTTGTTTAATAGTGAGTATTATTTATAACTATAATATTATTTGGAAAATATAAATAATCATTCTCTTTCTGTTAAACTTTATACATATGTATAAATATATATGTTATATTTTTTAGTGAATAATTTATTTGTACTTTTAAATTTATCTAAATTTTTTGTTTTCATAAACAAACCTGTAGAAAGGTAGTGGATATATCTAAAATATGCTTGGATATTTTAAGATATTTTCTAACAGTTGTTATTCATTTGAATTAATCTGTAACTTTCTTAAACACTTCTTAATATATTCTAGTTTATTCTACATTCAAATGGTTGATATTAAATAAGATTAATCTTGTGTCTATAAATTATCAATATCTTTATAATTATAAACGTTTCTTTGACCAAATGGATTAATAAATTACTATTAAGCAAATTAAGTATTATTGCATGCAACGTGCACCAAATTATTTGTTTGCTTAACCAAACCTATAAGGGGATAGTGATTATACCTAGAATATGCTTGGATATTCTAGGATATTCTACCATCTAACAGTTGTTATTCATTTAGACTAATCTTGTATCTCTAATTTATAAATATGTTTTTAGATTATAAATTTTTCTAAACACTTTCTAGTATATTCTAGTTTATTCTACTATGATTAATCTTGTGTTTATAAATTATCAACATGTTTATAATTATGAACTTTAATTGATCAATTGGATTAATTTATAGAAATAACACTACTATTAAACAAACTAAGCATTAAATGTAGCAATGTGTAGCAAATTATATTTACTTATGATAATATTTATTCAAACAGAATCAAAATATAAAACAATTTATGTTATGACTCATGTCCAGAGAGGTATATGTCCACGAGAGAGGTCCCCTTGGTCCACAAAAGCCAGAGCTCAAGCATGCACGGCTTTGCCTTTAGAACTCAAAAACTCCAAGCTTAACAATGTATTGGTCAACAATCTGATCCTGTGCAGTAAGAATTGTGATGTGATTTGGAGAACCATTCTTGTCCATCCTAAAGAATTGCTCCAGAGCTTGCTTGCCTTTGCCATAACCAAGACTGAGGCCCTTTTTTTTTGGTGGCACCAACATAAACTATCTGTCTCAGTAACAAATCTATCTTTACTGACTTCAAATACACCATTTGGATATTGAAGTCTATACCAGCAACCCAATTCACTAGATTTAAAAGTAACAATATGATTCCTGAAGTCAATTATTGCTGAGTGCTTCTTAAGCCAATTCATCCCCAAAAATATGGTATTTATATTCTCTTTTATACCAATAAAATCTGTACTTTCTGAAAAGCTTCCCATTTTATAAGTTAAATTCTCAATTCCATAACCATCTTTCATTTGCACATCTGCAGTTAATCTTTTTGTAAAATACTTGTAATCACGAATTGCTTTGAGCCCAAGTTTCTTGAGAAGTTGAAGTGATATAGCTGACCAATCAGAACCATTATCAAATACAAATGTGATGTGATGATCATTGATTCTCCCACTATATTTTGCATAATGAAAAGTAGTACATATATGTTGATTTATTCTCTTGTATTTTCTGCACTTATATAATTGGTAGTGATCATCAAGGGCACCATCAATCTCCTTGAGGCAATATATAGAATTATTGACCTCAAAAGTTAAACTGTTTATAGTGCCACTGCAGTCTAACTCTAAGCAATGTTGATGTATCCAAGGTGAACCCAAAATTATATCATGATCAAGAATCAATGGTTTTACAGTCAAACTTGTTTTAAATTCACAATCCTCCACCATAAACTTGAAATCTTTAACTTGTGAATTACTGTCCACAGTAATATTGAATTCATCTACTAATTTCTGTGAGATAATATCGCTGTCACAACCAGAATCCCAAAAAACATTGATTTTCCTCTCCAACCCATGATCCCCATATAGCCTTCCAAAAGTTTCTGCCATCAAACCCTAAATTCCCAAAATCCTAGAGTGTGGGAATTTATAAGCCGTCAACTCTTTCCCTTTTATTTGTTACGTGTTCAACCCTTTGAGCTCGAGAACATCCTCTTGTTAGCAACCAAGTGAACATCGATGTCCTTGTTGCGCCAAAAAGTAACCTCATCACCGAGACCGAGTGTTTCCAGTGTCCGCAAACCTGGAGATCACAGGATCATTTCTTTTGCTGTCAATGTTTTTACCTCGTTCTTCCATTTTCCTAACTTCCACTGGCTACGTTGATCCAAAGCACACCATCATCCACGTTCAAGCGCTCTCCTTCCTGTCGTGTAAGATGCAAATTCATGGATTAAACAAAGTTTCTACAAGACAAGTCACGCAAATTATCCAGACAACATGGCATTTTAAACCTTTTGGACAGCCAGAATAAGGGAAGCTCATTCGACACACGAAAAGTATGCAAGCCAAGCAAAACAGAAGAAAAACGAGAGGAAACACGAGCTTTTGTGGCTCTACCAACATGAGTGACAAATCCATGGTAAGCTTGCGGAGCTGCTTGTTTAACAAGGCCACTGCTGGTTGGAAGGCATGCTGAGCGAGAAAATGATGAACATTGGGGGCCAATGGGACCAGAAACTTCCATGCTTTGCTGTAGGATTACGCAACGATTACATACCTTTAAACCGCTTCCCCTCTCCTTGCTTTATCCTTGTTCTTCGCTGTTCTTGCTTGTGTTCTGCTCGTTTCTCTTGAGTCCCCATGCCTTCCTGTTAAAAAAAGCATTCCCACAACTGTTTCCCACGATGTTGTAAATCCGACTGACCTCGGGCATAGATGTTGGACGTGAGAGAGTACGCAGAGCCTGTTCCGTCGTCGAGCTTGAGAACCGACTTGAAGGCCATCCAGCCAAGCTCCACATCTCTCCACTTGAGGCACGAACTTAAGAATACACCAACGCGTCCGCCTTGCAAGGCCACGCTCTTTGAGCGCCTCGTTTTGAGCGAGAGAACTTCCCACCGATGCCTCTGTATCCAGCCATCGACCATCTAAAGCCTGCCCGGAATCCTCTCTATCAAGCTCTTGGTTTTTTCTGCGTTTTCTTCTGTGGCATAAGATACAAATGGGACCAACCTTTGTTTCCATCAAGGACAGATTATTAGTAAGAAATGATAAAGCGAGCTCATATTTTTCATACCTCGAGCCTGACCAGTTGGATATTCTAGGATATTCTACCATCTAACAGTACTATTAAACAAACTAAGCATTGAATGTAGCAATGTGTAGCAAAGTATTTCTACTTATGATAATATTTATTCAAACAGAATCAAAATATAAAACAATTTATGTTATGACACATGTCCAGAGAGGTATATGTCCATGAGAGAGGTCCCCTTGGTCCACAAAAGCCAGAGCTCAAGCATGCACGGCTTTGCCTTTAGAACTCAAAAACTCCAAGCTTAACAATGTATTGGTCAACAATCTGATCCTGTGCAGTAAGAATTGTGATGTGATTTGGAGAACCATTCTTGTCCATCCTAAAGAATTGCTCCAGAGCTTGCTTGCCTTTGCCATAACCAAGACTGAGGCCCTTTTTTTTTGGTGGCACCAACATAAACTATCTGTCTCAGTAACAAATCTATCTTTACTGACTTCAAATACACCATTTGGATATTGAAGTCTATACCAGCAACCCAATTCACTAGATTTAAAAGTAACAATATGATTCCTGAAGTCAATTATTGCTGAGTGCTTCTTAAGCCAATTCATCCCCAAAAATATGGTATCTATATTCTCTTTTATACCAATAAAATCTGTACTTTCTGAAAAGCTTCCCATTTTATACGTTAAATTCTCAATTCCATAACCATCTTTCATTTGCACATCTGCAGTTAATCTTTTTGTAAAATACTTGTAATCACGAATTGCTTTGAGCCCAAGTTTCTTGAGAAGTTGAAGTGTTATAGCTGACCAATCAGAACCATTATCAAATGCAATTGTGATGTGATGATCATTGATTCTCCCACTGTATTCTGCATAATGAAAAGTAGTACATATATGTTGATTTATTTTCTTGTATTTTTTGGACTTAGATAATTGGTAGTGATCCTTGAGGGCACCATCAACCTCTCTGAGGCAATATATA